GCAGCTCTCTGAAAGGGAGGCTACCTATAATAGTGTGATGACCTCAATGTCCCTAAACTAGGGGCAAGGGGGGTGAGGGTGGGATAGAGGGGGTGGGGGGTGGGGCAAAGAGGATGTGCCTAGTATCTTTCGCATAGACTGTGACTCCATGAAGACAGGAAGATGGTCTGTCTTGCTCAGAGCCTAGCCCACACCTGGCACACAGAATGTACTCAATACAAACACGCTGAGCAAATGCATTGAATGTTAGAACAGGGAGCCTCCAGCGCAACATTTCTGTCTTATATATGGGAAAACTGACCCCAGAGAGGTGCACGGATTCACCAGAGGTCACATGGGCAGGAGTGGCGGAGTAACAAGGCCCCCTGACTCCTGAGAAGACAGGGACCTGGAAGCCACCCTCCAACCTCACACCTGCCCTGCCCCCAACAAGGAACCCACACAAGCTTATTTGCCTAGGTCAACAACAACAACAAGAAGGCTCTGGAGGACTTGAAAATGAAAAGCTCACCACTCCCTCCTGACCCTGCTCTGCCCCCCACACCCATCCTGCTTTCAGGCGGCTTCCACGGGTGAGTGCATGGACTTCTTGCCTAGGACATCCAGGGGACTTTCCTGGGGGCAGCTTAACAGCCACGCAGGCGGCTCTGTGAGCAAGCCGCAGCTGTGCCAAGTCACTGGTCAGACCCTGTGTGTCAGGGATCATGCTCTAGAAGGAGCATACCAAGGCAGGGTGAGGACAGGAAGGGTGGTCAGTGCTGGGGGTGAGGATGGGGGTTGGACAAGACATCGAAAGATGAGGCTTGAGCTGGGCATTGAAGGATGAATTCACAGCTCACCAGACAGATGCAAGAAGGGAAGTACAATCTGGGCCAAAGGAATAGCACATGCAAAGGCACAGGGGTCTGAAATTGTCTGGAAGTTGGCAGTTCAAATCCACCAGGCACTCCTTGGAAACCCTATGGGGCAGTTCTAATCTGTCCTATAGGGTCGCCATGAGTTGGAATCGACTCGATGGCAATGGGTTTGAGTTTGCCTGGTTTTTTTGGTGTTTAGGTACCAGCAGGAGCTCAGGGAGCCTGAGCATCTAGAGATGAGGCAGAATCTTCTATTGATGCCAAACTCTAAAGCCCAAAACCTAGCACCCCAACTGGTAGTACAGTGGACTCAGGAAGGACTCAGTACCTACTCTATGCCAAGAGAGTCACCCACTTCTTCCCATGCATCAGCCCCCACCCACCTATCAGCTGCACCTTTCTACAGCGATATCTCACGTATCCAGAAGCCACGTAACTGATAACTCAACTATCCAGAACCTGGCTGCAAACCTAGAAGGAAACAAAAAAGACCTGTTGAACAGTCACAATTCACGCCCCAAAATTCATGTCCTACAGGCCATGCACTTTACACCCAGGAAAGGTGCTCTCGCCTGCCTTTCTGGCTTGGCTGTCTCTGGTTAAGAGCAGATGCCGGAGTCAGCCCAGCTCTGGCACGTTGTAGCTGTGTGGCCTTGGCCTTCACTTTCCTTATATGTAAAATGGGAAAATAGTTGTAGCTACCTCAGAGCGTAGCTGTGAAGATGAAAGGACACGAAATACTTAGCACAGTGCCCAACACCATGAAATCATAGCTAAAGGGGGCAGGACAAAGAAGAGAAGGAGGAAAGAGAAAGGGCGGAAAATGTATCCTGAGCAGACCCAAAGTACAAAGGAGAATGGCAAGCTAGAACCATTTGATATTTTCAGAAAGTTATTAAATCATCTTACAATTTACAATGATTTCCTTTAAAATGGTTGCAGTGAAAAGTTTTGGTGTTTAAAAGGTAGAGCTACTAGAAAAACTAATGCATGCAAGTTCACCTAGGGGAATGACATAATTCTGTGTGTACCTGTGTACATTTAAAGCACCCAAAGGGATTTATAAAACAGACATCGTACTTAACCGAACCTAAGATGCCATCAATCGTAAGAGACGCCATTATTTTGGATGCCATTGAAAAAGAAATACCACTGTCTGTTATCGTTGTAAAGGAGCCCTGGTAGTACAATGGTTAAGCACTTGGCTGCTAACCAAAAGTTCAAACCCACCCAACAGCACTGAAGGAGAAAGACCTGGCGATCTGCTTCAGTAAAGATTACAGCCAAGAAAACCCTATGGGGCAGTTCTACTGAGTCACAGAGGGTCACTATGAGTTGGAATCGACTCACCAGCACCCAACAACATTATACAGTTGGCCCTCCATAACCAGGGGTTCTGCATCTGCAGATTCAACCAACGGTGGATCAAAAACATTTGGGAAAAAAAGACTTTTTTTTCTTGTCATTATTCCCTGAACAATACAGTATAACAACTATTTACATAGCATTTACGTTGTATTAGGTGTTACAAGTAATCTAGCAATGATTTAAAATATACTGGAGGATGTGCATAGGTTATATACAAATGCTATGCCATTTTATATAAGGGACTTGAGCGTCCCCGGATTTTGGTATCTGCGGGGGTCCTGGACCAACTGTAATTGTAAGGAGTCTGTGGGTGAGCAAATGGTTAAGTGCTGGGCGTCTAACCAAAAAGTTGATGGTTTGAATCCACCCAGAAGCACCTCGGAAGAAAGGCCTGGTGATCTACTTCCAAAAGATCACAGCCATTGAAAACTCTATGCAGCACAATTCTACTCTGACACGTGGCAGGGTGGGGGTTTCTCCATGAGTCAGAATTGATTCAACAGTAACTGTTTGTTTTTTTTTTTTGATTGTTGTTGTGGTTACAATTGTAAGAGGCAAGAGATGGTAATATGCTATTTTTTTACTTCAGGGTTGTTAAAATGTGAAAATCTGTACATCTTCAAATCAATGGGATATCCCAAGATGAAATACTGTTTGCTATGAGAATTTCTTCTTCCCTTTGGGCAGCAGTCAGGTATAGTCTTTCCTTTGTCCCTCTATCTATGCCAGAGGCTCCAAAATAAAATTAAACACCTCTTCCTGTCCTGCTAGTGATCACTCTATCTCGTCCCTCCAGAAGTTTCCTTATTTAAGAAGCTGACCCAGCCTTTCACCACACCTACATCTGAGGCCAAACAGGTCCTCTGCCATTTCTAGGCCAGCAGACCCCATGAGCAGTGACTAACCTGGGACTGTGGATCAGCGTCCAGCATCCAGCCTCCTTCACCACTGTGTCTTCTCAGCATTACATTTCCATCAGCCCCAAACAGGCTTCCTGCCCAGTACAACCATTTAGCTTCCACCCTATTCTTCTTTTTTTTAGTTTTAGTTTTTTCCCCCACCCAAAAATTTATACACACATCGTTATGTGACTCCAATTGCTCTCCCCATATTGTGACAGCACACTCGTCCTTTCCACCCCTGATTCCCCAGCCAGCTCCTAGCCCTTCTGCCTTCCCATCTCACCTCCGGACAGAAGCTGCCCATTTAGTCTCTTGTATTTACTTGAGCTAAGAAGCACACTCCTCATGAATATCACTTTATGTCCCACAGTCCAGTCCAATCCCTGTCTGAAGAGTTGGCCTCAGAAATTGTTTTAGTTCTGGGCTGATAGAGAATCCAGGGGCCATGCTTTCCGGGGTTCCTCCAGTCTCAGACAGACCATTAAGTCTGGTCTTCTTACTAGAATTTGAGTTCTGCACCCCACCTTTCTCCTGCTCCATCAGGGACTCTCTGTTGTATTCCCTGTCAGGGTGGTCACTGGTGGTAGCTGGGCACAATCTAGTTCTTCTGGTCTCTGGCTGATGAAGTCTCTGGTTTATGTGGCCTTTTCTGTCTCTTGGGCTAATACTTTCCTTGTGTCTTTGGTGTTCTTCATTCTCCTTTACTCCAGGTGGTCGGGACCAATTGATGCAGCTTAGATAGCTGCTTGCAAGCTTTTAAGACCCCAGACACCACTCACCAAAATAGGATGCGGAACACTTTCTTAATAAGCTTTGTTAAACCAATTGACCTAGATGTCCCCTGAAAGCATGGTCCCCAGACCCCTACCCCTGCTACTTTGTCCCTCAAAGTGTTTGATTGTATTCCCACCCCATTATTCTTGAAAGAAACAAAAAGGGGTGCACCAGAAGAAGGAAGAGGAGGCGGGGAAGGCAGAGGCGGTCTGCTTCCACTGCAGCTTGGAGAGGGGACATAATCACCTGCCACCTAAGCTGGAGATAAGGGAATGGCATCCTAAAACCCAAATGGGAGGCCCTGGGTGGTATAAACCGTTAACATGCTCAGCTGCTAAACAAAAAGCTGGAGGTTTGAGTCCACCCTGAGGCACCTTGGAAGAAAGTCCTGACAATCAATCTATTTCCAAAAAGGCAGCCATTAAAAACCCTGTGGAGCACAGTTCTACTCTGGCTCACACTGGGTCACCATGAGTTGGAGTCAACTTGACAGCAACTGGTTCTTTGGAAAATCCAAATAAGGTCCAGCACACAAAGACCCCAAGACTTCCTGCCCCAGAGTTCTGGTGAGTTATGCTTCAAAAAGCAGGGGAGCGTATCCTGAAGCAGGAAGAGGGAGCCTGACCATCCCATACTGTCTTCTTCGTCTTCCACAGCCCCTGGGGTGACCACCACACCACTGTGGTCACACTGAGGAAGCAAGTAAGCCCTTGATGCCCCCTCTTTGTTCTACAAACATTCACAGAGCACTTCCCATCTGCAGCCGCTTTCAACACATTTAATTTAATTTTCCACACAGCCCTGTGAGGTAGGAATTAGAGCCTATTTTACAGATAGGAGACTGAGGGTGCGAAAGGGGCAGTAAGATGCTGAAGGTACTCAGCTAGGCCTGGCTGGAATGCATATCACACACGGTTCCCAAGCAATGGCTCCAGCATCATCACTTAAAGCTTAAGCGTATTACTAATTTAGAAAAACACAGATTACAGACCCCACTCCCAGAAAGCTGTGCTGCAGGCCTGGGCCCGGAGAACAGGTGTTTTAATAAGCAGTCTGGGAGAGTCGGAGGTGAAGACAGCTCTGGGAAGTAGGGTCTTACCAGGTGATCCCCGGGGCAGAGGAACAGGGAGAGAACGGCAATCCAGAGGGAACTTCCAGGCCGACTTGTCCTACTTTCAGCCCTCTTTTTGCCTAAACCCACCGCTGCTCTCTGCACCGAGGCTTGTTAACTCATTTTGTACCACTTCCTGCTGCTTTCATCTCGCCTTCCTTTTCCCACTGAACAATCTCCTTCCTCCTACTGACCTGAACTCCTTGCTTATCCACCCCGACCCTGAGACGGGCCAGCGCGTGCGCGTGCACACACACAGCCACGCAGACACACCCAGGGTGTAAACACAAACCCCCTGACAGCGCATAGCATGCACTTCCCTAGAACAGCGGCCACGCTCTGGAGGGCCCACACTCACCAGCGGGGAGCAAGCTGAGGCCCACAGGGGGTGCCTTAGGCAGGCACTTCCACGACTCCCAGGTCCTGATGGCAAAGGACTCCTGATGCCAAAGTTAGCCGAGAGTTCCCCCGAAGGGGCGCAAACTCCTGGACCTCATGACACAGGGCGGCCTGTGGAGGAGACAGGAGGCTGCGCGCATCCTCGCATCGTATAGAGGCGCCAGGAGGGGTAACCGGTCCTCGGGAAGCCCCTCTGCCTCTGGATTCACTGGGAACGCGGTTTATGGACCCTTCCCATGGACTCAAATGACTGCAGGATCTGTCCAGCTACCCGCTCCTGTCAGCGCCCACTGTCCCCCGACGGTCCCCAGCCAGCTCCTGTCTGTCCTGAGCCCCCACCCGTGCCCTCGGCGCCCGCCAACCGCCCAGTCACACACCTGCAGTCCCCGCCGGGCGTCCAGCCCCTCTTCAGCGGCGACTCCCTGCAAGTCTGGTTACAGTCACCACTACAGCGCCGGGTCTGGAGCCTCGCGCCAAGTCCCGGTATCTGCCGAGGCCCGGCATCTGCTCAGGCCCCGCCCCTCGGGCGGGCAGGCTGGACCGGGGTGGGGTAGGGGCGGGGCAGGGACACTCGGGGGGCGGGGCTTGAGCCGGGGAGGCCTGGGCCACACCCACCTCCCAGCCACGCCACCTGGTGGCGGGGCAGTGTCAGCGAGGTGCTGTCCTGGCCCTTGCATCCTGCACGTCTTGCCCCAGAGCCCGCAGGCGTCTCAGAATCAGCCCCCTGCTCCGGTGCGTCTGCCCTCGCAAGGAACAGGCCCTGGCGAATGCGTGGCCTTGGCCCAAGGGCCACCAGTGCCGCTCACCAGAGACCGCCCCCCACCCCGCCCGCCCCAGCAGTAAGGTGAATTTGGCCTGGCGAGCGGAAGCAAGGCTTTGGCCTCGCAGGACGGGTGGGCGGAGCAAGGGAGCGGCTTGAGGTGGGGGCTTCGGGGAAGGACGAGAAAGGGGAACCTGCGACGCACTGCTTCCTTCTCTCACTGCGACCCAGCGCCCCACTTCCTTCTCCTACTTCTATTTTCTTTGGGTGCTTTTAACCCTTAAAATGCCTGCACCTCTGCTGTGCGGACGGGCGCCGTGATCCCCCACACCCCCTTCTGCGGAAACCTTTCTAGAAATATCAGCCAGTCCAGACTCTCAGCGCTGCTCCTCCAGTCTCTGGATCTGACTTTCCCATCTTCCCTCGCTGGCGCTATTTCCCAGCCCCTGGGGGTCCTTTACTTGCCTCTCGCCTTCTCCCCACAAATGACATGGCAGATGGTGTCATACCACAGAGTTGGAGGAACTCGTCACGGAATCCCAGAAGTCACTGCACTTCCCAGTGCCTCAGTTTCCGCATTTACAAAATGGAGATAAGAAAGTTGGTTTCTGCACACGCAGGCAGCCCTGGCAATGAAAGAATAGCACTTTATATAAGGGTTAACAAAGGGTAAGGCTGGAATTTCCACTGCACTATTAAATAGGACTCTATGTCACGGTATCTGTTAACCCGAAAAAAACCCCACAAAACTCATTGCCGTCCAGTCGATTGCGACTCATAGTGATCTTATAGAAGAGAGTAGGATGGCTCAGGGTTTCCAAGGAGCGGCTGGTGGATTCGAACTGCCGACCTTTTGGTTAGCAGCCATAGCTCTTAACACTGCATCACCAGGTCTCCTCAATATCTTTTAGAGACATCCAAAATCTGCCAAAAGGTCAGCGGAAGCCACGGTACAGTCCTACTGAGGCCTTGAGAAACTTGAATACCAATCACTTCTTTTCCTGACTCATTAAATACCAAGAAAAAGCAACTTCCTCAAAGGAATAGAAACACTACTCTTGGCTGAACACAGAGGACTTGTTCCAGCTTATAGTTAGAGATAGAAGAGAGCTCCAAACCCATTTACTGCAACTTCTACTCTTCTACTCTACTCCTGGAATCCCTGGGTAGCAAAAACAACTAAGCCCTCCACTACTAACCAAAAGTTCGGTGGTTCGAACCCACCCAGAGGCACATCAGAAGAAAGGCCTGGTGATCTGCTCTGCACACAGGGAGTCACCACCAGTCAGAACGGACTGGATGGCAACTAGTACTCTTCATCCACCACCTCTACCCCCACACGCCACCATTTTACAAATAAAGAGGACTGTGTAATGACAAACACAAGGCCATCCTACTTGATAAGACTGGTCCCCAGACCCCTGCTTTTTCCACCACAAAAATGCCAGCATTTGGAGGAAAAGGAGAAGGTGGAAGCAGCCTGGAGGTGGCCAGGGTAGAAAGGAGGGGTTAGAAACTCATTTGGAATCAGGAATTGAGTAGCAAGAATGATACAGTGTGTGCCAGATCAAAATGTTGGATTATGAGAGCACCTTGAAAGGTAAAGAAAATGCTAGGAAAGTTATGGGATTCTTGATTTCTTCCTCCATGGGCCATATCCTTGGTGTTCCTAAAACTGAAGATGGAGGAAAGCCAAACCAGAGTTGGTGATTAGCGCTCACTGCTAGGGAGCTCAGCATCCCATGAAGCAAACTCGGTACCATCCTGCATCACCTTAGAGATGGGCATTCTCTGCTCCACCAGCAGCTGTGGCCCAAATGTTGAGCTTGCATGTTCCTTTCCCCCTCAAATACTCAACTCCGCCTGTGTTTCTCTGCCCCTAGTTGAGAACTTGGCTACTAACCAAAAGGTCAGCAGTTCGAACCCACTGGCCACTCCTTGGAGGCGCCATGGGGCAGTTCTACTTTGTCCTATAGGGTTGCTTATAAGTCAGAATCACTGGACGGAAACAGGTTTGGTTTTTAAGAGGGCAGTCTACCAATCAAGAGATGTAATCAGCACCTGACACCTCGTGGCCAGAACTTAGAACTACAGCCACCAGGCACCTCTTCTACTCCCTGTCTCCCCAAAGTGGCTGGTTTGGAAAGGTGCCTCTGTCACTAATTTCGCACCTGATTGCATACCACTTTGTACAGCTCTTCTGTTGTTTCATTCTTTTATATATCTACGTATAATTTTTCCCCTTGCATTTACTGCCTAATGTTTTCAAAGAGGAGTCTATCCCTGTCTCCACTTCCTCAATCTACGTTTATTCCTCAATGCTCTGAAAACGGTTGCCAGTGACACCCCAAATGCCAAATCCAGTGGTGTCGTTTTCTTGCCTCACTGCAGCATTGACACAACCCCTCCTTGAGAATTTCCCCTTGGCTTCTCCTCTGTATCTCAACAGTACTTTTACTTTCTTTTTCTGACTTCATTTTCTTCATCGTCCCTTAAACATTGGAATTTGTGAGGTCTGTATTAGGCAGCTTCTCTTCTCCTTGGGCAATTCATTCACTCCCATCATACTGATCCCTCCAAAATTTATAGCCCAGCTTCTCTCTTGTGCTCCAGAACTATAATTCCAAGTGGATAACCTGGATAATCCCAAGGTACCTTAATCACTCCATGTCCTAAAATGAATTCCTCATCTTTTCCCCAAACTCCTTTTCTTACATTTTCTATCTCAGTTAGTACCTTTACTGTCTACCCATTTTCAAAGCCAGAAACCCTGCTATAGAAATAACTTATATCCAGAATATGTAAAGAACTCCTACAACTCAAAAACAAAAAGACAATCCAATTTAAAAATGGGCAAAAGACTTGCACTGACACTTCGCAAAAGAAAACAGATGGCCAATAAGCACATGAAAAGATGTTCAACATCATTAGTTGTCAGGGAAATGCAAATTAAAACCGTGAGATACCACTTTACAGCCATTAGGAAGACTAAAATTAAGACAGACCACACCAAATGTTGGCAAGGATGTAGAGCAACTAGAACTCTTATGTGTTGCTTGTGGGAGTACTACAATGGCATGACTACTTTGGAAAACTGATTGGAAGTTTCTAATAAACTTAAATATACATGTACTTATGATCCAGAACTTTCACTCTTAGGTATTTATCCAAGATAAAGAAATGTACATGTCCACACAAAAATATGTACATGAATGATTATAGCAGCTTTATTCATAATAGCCCTGTGATGGTTAAGGTTTTGTGTCAACTTTGCTGGGCCATGATTCTCAGTGGTTTGGCAGTTATGATGTAGTTTGGCAGCTATGTGTTGATGTAATCACCTCTGTAATGAGATCAGATATAATGTAATCACCTCCATGATGAGATCTGCTATAAGCAGCCAATCAGTTGAAGGGGAGTTTCCTTGGGGATGTGGCCTGCATCCAATATATGTGGACTTTCTGGCAAAGCATGCTGGTTTTTGCTTGCTCTGGATCCTCAGCTGACCTCTGGTTCTTGGGACTTGAGCTAGCAGCTTACCTGCCTGTCTTGGGATTTATCAGCCTCTGCAGCCTGTGAGCCAGAGGCCTGCTGTCTGAACTGCCAAACTTGGGTTCACTAGCCCTTTCAGCTACTTGAGTCAGGAGAAGCCTCCAGCCTGACCCATGGACTTGGGACTTCCAGCCTTCCAGCCTCTACAACCTTGTGAGCCATTTCCTTGATATAAATCCCTCTCTCTCTCTCTGTACGTGTGTGTATATATACATATATACCTTCACTGGTTTTGCTTCTTGAGAGAAACCAGCCTAAGACAAGCCCCAAACTGGAAACAACCCAAATTCTACTAACAAGAGAATGGACCAAAAAAAAAAAGGGGAGTGGAGGTGTATTCATGTAAGGGAATGCTATTAAGTAATAAAAAGGAATAAATTACTGATACATGCAAAAACATGGATGAATTTCATGAACATGTTGAACAGAAGAAGCCAAACACAAAAGAAAATATAGTGTATGATTCCATTTATATGAAGTAATATAAATTAGCAAAACTCGACATTAGAAAAAAATACATCCGAACAGACCAATAACCATGAAATTTTATAAATTATCAAAAAATTATTCTCTTGAAAGTCTCCAGGTCCTGGTAGTTACACGGATGACTTCTATCAAACTTTAAAGGTCAGAATTGTTCTACACTTTCAAAAAATACTGCAGTAAAGCACATTTATGTCTAGAGTATGCTGCCTAAAATGGAATACAAACAGTAAAAACTGAACCTAATTCTATTACAAAAGCATGACACAACCAGACAGAGGAGGGTGGGGACAGAAAAAACTAACCTAAGTAATTTAGAAAAACTGTATTTTGACTGCATAATGTAAGCCTAAAGACAAAAATAACTGTATGCACACACTGTACTCTAGTTAGTCTGTTTCTCACAGGGGTATGGGTTAGCAATTCTGAAACTCCTTTATGTACACACTAAGATTGAACAAGTATATAAATACATTGTAAATAATGACAGCCAGTTTTCTCACTGTTGGAGAAAGAAGTTACAAATAGGAAAGGTGGAAGACTGGAAAGAATCCTGTGGTGTTAATCTGAAGTCAGCGATATCAGTATGTACTCATGATTTTTGATAGATGGATAGATAGGGATGTGTGTGTGTGTGTGTGTGTGTGTGTGTT